GCATTACATTAAACCTAAAGAAGACCATGGAAAAATCTAGAACTCAAATGGAAATCTAAAGAACAGATGATACTGCATTTTTTGTATTTATTGATTTAATAGTATACAAAATTTGTTCAAAAAAAATATGCATACTTTAATCTTGAAAAAACTTTTTAATAGAAATTTTGAAACAGTTCATTTTCATGAAAAATACTCTATCTTTTAGATTATCATATAGATACGAAATATGGACAAACAATGTGTTTTCTGCACTATGTTGTGTGCAAGTTATTGTTGCACACAATGTAATCAAATGACTCGTAGTTTAAAATTTGAACGTTTACTTCAGCGTCTAGAAAGATGCTCTGAAAATGTCATGTACCGCGATAAAATCAATTCTGTTGTACAGCGAATTAAACAAGTGAGTTTATTCAAATGACGATTTAATTAAAAACTAAAGGTATTTTAGATGGATTCAATTATGAGACCATTTCAATTTTATCCGACTTATGTTTTTGATGAAGCAAAGCATAAAATAGATGTGGTCGCTAAGGAATATCTTCAAAAAGCGAGTGATGACACACATCATCTTGTTCCTATTGACGTTCCTGGCGATGAACATTGTTTATACCATTCTATTGTTCTTTTGATGAACAATCCATTAGTGACGACCACTGAATTGCGAGGTATAGACTTTTTCTTTGATGTTACGCTAAATTTAGTTTTGAAAATTTGTTTAGTTCGAACGGTTATTGAACTTATAATCAATGAAAACTATTACGATACCATGTATTTACAACATGCAGGAACTACCGATATTATTATTCAAGCAGCTTGCAGAAAGGGAATGTGTTCTGAATTACATGAAATTGCTGCATTATGCAATGTACTACAATGTAACATACGAAGTGTTTATCCAAAAATTGATTTTCAATATTATAAGGCAATTTGGGATAGCGTCTTTACACCTATTCCACCTGTTATTGGCAATTGTAACATTGCAATCTTATGGTCAAACACTTTGCACGAAAAAGATGCTCGAGAAACGTATAATGGTACATGGAGACCAAATCATTTTGTTCCACTTCTGTCGCCACCTATTCTTAATGAATTTAGTAGTCAATCAGTGTCACTTGTTGTAGTAAGTTAGCTATTTGTAAATATAAAAATCAGAACCTTGAAACTTTTCTCTAGACTCCTGAAAAGAAGACGTTCAAGAACAATGCAGTTACTCAAATAAGAGTACCTGAATTTCAGTCTTCTCTGAGTAGACGATTACGAAGTGAAGACAACAGCGGAAATGATTTCGTTCAAACAAATGTTTCAAGTACAATGGAAAAGGAAAAGGACGATAAGGAAGAAAGACGTCAAATTCAACTTCAGAAGAAAAGAGAACGAAGCCGATCCAGTCGAATGAACGAAACAGAAGAACATCGACAAATTCGTCTACAGAAAGAGAAGGAACGAAGTCGCGCGAGCCGAATGACTGAAACAGAAGAACAACGACAAGTTCGGCTTGAGAAGATGGATGAAAGAAATCAATCGAGTCGAGCAAATGAATCCGAAGAGCAGCGTCAAATTCGACTTGAGAAGATGAAAGAAAGAAATCAATCGAGTCGAGCAAATGAATCCGAAGGACAACGTCAAACTCGACTCGAGAAAAAACGAGAGCAAACTCAACGTACACGAACAAATGAATCACGAGAACAACATCAGATCCTACTCGAACAGCAAAAGAAACGAAGTCAAGCGAATAGAACTAAAAAGAAACATGAAAATGTTGGTAGTGGAAAAAACTATGTTCGCTCACCTTGGCCTGAACCAATTGCTCGTGATTTAAAAGAAACTCGTTTGCAGCAATTTTTAGAACAGATGTCTATGTCAAAATTGGCTGAAGCGACTTGTGCAGTTTGCAATATCCGCACTCCAGCAAAAGATGCGAAAAAAATACCCATCTCTAAAATTCCTAATATTGATTTGCTTAAAGCTTCTGAAGAACTCAAAACTTTAATTAAAAATTCAACTGAAAATACTGCTACTCTCATCGATGATAACAATACACGTACGACATCACACATTAAAAGTATGTAGAATTAAATTGATTCAGAAAATTTACAGAATTGTTTTTTTTAGATCAGTCAAATTTTGGTTT